GTTGTGGCTCTGGAGTCAACGTTCGTAGCGCACTTGATCATTTTTCGGACACTGTCGGCCCTAACAGAGGGGCCGGGGATGATGAGGATGAAGAAGATTATCAAGATGAGAGGGAGTACGAGGATAATGAAAATGATGGGTCTAAACGGAAGAGGTCGAGCTCTTCTCCTCCAGATCCAAGTCAGGCTCTTCATTCTGTTTGTAAAAATGTTATTCGTGGTGAGCAACTTAAAGGTCAGCGACCCCTGACAGCTACCAAGCCTGAAGACTTGTCTTCTACTAATTACATGAACATAATGACAGAGCTACAGGAGAACAAAAAGGACTTAGATCAAAGAATGAAAAGGACGGCTGAAATCCAGAGACTCAGAACATTCCCCCTTTATAAATCCTGTGGAGCAAGACGACATTCTTTAAATGGATCAGGTGATGCACACAAAAGCCAAATGAGAAAAGAGCTGTTTTACAGAAAATCTCCAAAGCGTCACTCTGTTAGAAGACTAATAACTACCTTTAGTCAAGGGGCTGATGGGAGACAAGAACTCAGTCTTGGCAACATTACGTCTCATGAAAGAAGACACAGAAAAAGTCATCTTCAACTCTCTGACTCAGTTAAAAGTCATGAGGGGGCTTTAGTCATCAGTGACAACGGTAACAACAACAGGTGGCCTGACAGCAGGGATGACCTGGATTTAGACAATCTACCACCTCCGCCACCAGAGGTACTAATGGATAACTCCTTCCAAAGCAATGAAAGTCAATTGGGAAATGGAGGCAAGTTCCAGGAAGATTCTATTTGTAGACTTCCAGTAATAAATCATAAGACTGGAATCTCACAGCGACTGAAAACACAAATTCAAAGGGAAGTTCTGCCAAACAAAACAACAATGAGGTTGAGATCAGTCAATGTCTCATCTGCCCATAATGTTCATCAGGGAACTACACACAATGGAAAGCTGCAGCATGAAACGAATATAGATCAAGAAGGTGAGACGGAAAACAGTTTCTACCAGGAGGCCAGGAAGATCATTCACCTGCACAATGGAGTAGAATCTTTAAACGGGAAACATGTTATCGAACCTGACAGCTTAAGGTCCTCCATTCAATCTAGAATGGGTCAAAGATGTGAAAACAATGAAATATATGAGTCTGAAACGTCTTGCAGCATGCCAGTGAGGGCACCACCCGTCTCTAGAGTTCGTCTTCCACCATCTGGTCCTGTTCTGTCCCACAGATATCCAAGTCCTCCTACTTTTAGACCACAGTACTCTTCTAAGCTCTCATCTCGCCCAAGTTCTCCAAAAGCACGGACGTGTTCAAAAGAAAACAGCGTTGATGAAGTCATTCCGTCTGTGTCCTTCCAAGATGCCCGCTCATTTTTCTGCCGAAATGAGACGCAAAACTCTACGGCCGGCCTCACTTTTGGAAGTTCTGTCCGAGGCAGGACAGTCTCCAGAGGGATGGAGAGCCCCACCCGCCGGACACAATCAGAACAGAGGCCTTCTACGACTTCCCATTCAGAGTTTGAAGCAGATGTCAGTTTGCCATCTATTCCAGCCAAGGAGAGTAAATAAATGGAAGTATAAATGGTAAGTAAGAAAGTAATCACAAAAACAGACATAGGTGTGTTAATATGCCATTACATAATAATCAGAGCGATGCTGAGCTGATTCATGTTGTCAGAACATGATATCATGGACAAAAGACATATTGTCACTGTACTTTGCCAGTGTCTATGAAAGAGCATGGAATTCCTAAAGTGTGTGGAACATCTATAATGGATTATTGGGTTTCTATGGTGGGACTAGGCTTGCATTTGACAAATAAGTAAGGTTAGTTGAATTTGTGAGACACAGCATCGTACTCCTTTAACTCTTCCTAAGCAATTTTGGCATGTGTGACTACAGAAATGGTCATTGGTGTTTAACATTTGGTATTTGGCAAATGTAAAAAAATGGTTCCATGCGCAGACAACTATATTGCAAACTAATTACCTATGATGCCACCTTTAAGGACAAGGCTTGGCTGGTGTGATTTCTTTATACAGAGTTTGGTAGGATTTGTCAAAAATAAAAATGAAATCAGTGCGTGACCACTTGTGAGAGACTTTACAGAGTAATGCAAATGTAATGGAAATGGTTTTGTTTCCTTTAATATCTTGCATTTCATATTGTTTCTGATGATAATAGAACAGTTCATTTTGTCAGAGTGAACCAAAGACCATTTTTCTGTCCAGGGTGGTATTTCACCCATTCTTAGTTTTCTTTTAAGAAACTGAGTATAGGTTTAAACCAGTCATTTGGGCATAAGTGGTTTATTGAAATAAAATCAAATTATTGCTTAATTTGACAAAGGTTCCCATTACTTTTGGTAGCTGCCTAAAAGACCCACTTACACAAGCATAGATCAACACACAAACATTCCTCTTGCTGCCAACAGCTTACCTTATTGACATAAAAGTAATATGGCAGTATATAGCAAGGTTTTGTGCAGTTTCTCTTACGATAAAGTATTACTACTTTCATCAAAATCATATTTCTGTGGGAGGCCTATCAAAAATTACAGCTGTATCGTTTTTGTGATACTGGCGGGTTTACAAAGACACAACAAAAGCTGATAAAGAAAAGTAATGGACTTCAAAAATTAGCATATGAAAAGCTAACACACTTTGGGACAAATCAAGGGTGTGCTACAAAAAAAATTAATGTAGTTGTATGTACAACATGTATTAGCATATGTTGATATGTTACAGTAATATAAAAAGAAAGCAGACATTACTTCATATCCATCAACCATCTAGAGCTTTAGCTGTCTTTCCCCATTGTTATGCTTTAAAATGATCAATTGATAGAAAACCACATGGCTCAATCTGAATTGGATTAGCTCTTCTACTCCATTTTAGACCCTGCAGTGACGTGAGCTCTTCAACCTACTTCCCACATAATGTTTTTAAGAACTAACTCTTTTCTTCTCCTTTCATGCTTTCCTACAGGGTATACAATCACCTGATGACAAGAGAAATGGCAAATCGGACCCATGTGCCAGTTTGAAAACAACCTTAAATCTAACTGTTATTAGCCAGGGTAAAACATGTAGAACAAAAAAATAATTAAAGGGAATATATATTACAAAGTTTAATCTCATCCCTGTATGTATTTTCTTTTATTGTTTTGCATTGTGTGTATTAACTTCCTCTCAATTTACTGTCAGCCGTGTCAGTAAATAAATGCAAATAAAGATGAAATATGCCCAAAAGTCGTTTGAAAACGTATTTCCTGAAAATTCTGTTTCGAACTCTATTGGTAATACTGCACCAAGTGTGATTGCTGGTAAGGTAACTGAAAAGATTACTTGCACTACATTGTTTGAAAAAGAAAAACACAATAGATGATGGATGGATGGATATACATGTAAAAACTTGTTTACATCAAGGTTTTGTGAAATCTTCAGGTGAACTGGTCATTTTCTCAGCACATTTGGACGATTATGTCCAAATGAGGGCTTTTAGATTCAGTGCAGAGTTTTGTTGAGCGAATTCTCACATTCTACAACTTATCTCCCTTCATCCAAACCTTCAACTTGCCTCTTGGACCCCATCCCGACTAGGCTGCTTAAAGAAGTCCTACCCTTAGTCGGTACTTCTCTGCTAGACGTGATCAATCTGTCCTTATTAACAGGCTATGTGCCACAGTACTTTAAAGTAGCTGTAATTAAGCCTCTTTTGAAAAAGCCTAACCTGGACCCAGATGTTTTAGCCAACTATAGACCTATATCCAACCTTCCATTCATCTCCAAGGTCCTGGAGAAAGCAGTAGCCAAACAGCAGTGTGACTATTTACATAGCAATAGCTTGTTTGAGGATTTTCAGTCAGGATTTAGAGCTCACCATAGCACAGAGACCGCACTGGTGAAAATTACTAATGACCTCCTAATGGCATCAGACAAAGGACTGGTCTCTGTCTTGGTTTTATTAGATCTTAGTGCTGCTTTTGACACCATTGACCATCAGATCCTACTACAGAGACTGGAACATTTCATTGGCATTAAAGGAGCCGTTCTAAGTTGGTTTAGGTCCTATTTATCAGATCGGTTTCAGTTTGTGCATATTAACGATGAGTCCTCCATGCATGCCAGAGTTAGCCACGGAGTTCCACAAGGATCCGTTCTCGGACCAATCCTCTTTACTTTATATATGCTTCCTTTAGGTAATATTATCAGGAAACACTCTATCAACTTTCATTGCTATGCAGATGATACTCAGTTATACCTATCGATCAAGCCAGATGAAATTCATCAGCTAGCTAAGCTTCAAATGTGCCTTCAGGATGTTAAAACTTGGATGACCTGCAATTTTCTAATGTTAAACTCAGCTAAAACTGAAGTTATTGTTCTAGGGCCTAAACACCTTTGTGACGCATTATCTAGAGATATAGTTTCCCTGGATGGCATCGCCCTGGCCTCCAGCACCACTGTGAGAAATCTTGGAGTTATCTTCGATCAGGACATGTCGTTTAACTCTCACATTAAGCAAATTTCAAGAACTGCCTTCTTTCACCTTCGTAATATTGCAAAAATTAGGAGCATCCTGTGTAAAAATGATGCAGAAAAACTAGTCCATGCATTTGTTACTTCTAGGCTGGATTACTGCAATTCCCTGTTATCAGGCTCTTCAAAAAAGTCCATTAGGACTCTTCAGCTGATCCAGAATGCTGCAGCACCTGTTCTTAAAGGAACCAGAAAAAGAGATCAGTTGTGGGAACTACAAATAGCACTTCCGTTGGCAGATTTGCAGCGGCAGCTGCTGCATAATTAGCTATAGCTAATGTAGCAATGGGCTACAGCTATATGGTCTCATAGACCGTTTGCCAATAACCAGTGGTCAGTGATTGTCCGTGCAGGATTGAGTTTAGCCCTGATGCCATAGTAGTCCCATAGGCCAACTATGACGTCATGGCGTACGTACGTGAAAACAGAATGTCACGTGGTGTTACGCGCAGGAACTGGGTGTGAAGATGGCGGACGGGGAGGCCCAGCACGACTGTTTTCCTGCTGGTGATTTTAGTGAAACGATTAGAAAACTCTCGCGGCGATTAGAAAAACTCCAAGAAGTTTTGGTTATAAAAAGTGTTGATTCTCCGTTCCAGTCCTCATCTGAATATTGTCATGAATTTTGTTCGGTAAGTTGTTTTTATCCTCAATTAATATGCAAAAACAAGCCATCCTCCTAGCAAAACATTCGCCTCTCCTGGGTACTTGTTCAGTACAATTTCTTCTCTCAGAGCTGAAACGTAAATAGTTATGAGAACTGGTTAGATGTGTTGTTTATGCGGCAACAGTTATAATAAACAAACATGTTCAGGCTTTAGTGAGTACTAAACATGGCTAATGAAACCAGCTAATGGAAGACTTAATGAAAGTCGTGTGTTATTGGATCGTGCTGTTTTACACTTTCAGTGGTTTTCTGGCAGAGACAAAACCCAATGGACGGCTAGCTGAGAAGTAGGTGCTCTGTCCATTCTGTTATCTCCGTCACAAGAATAGCATCATCAAACATCCAAAGCTACGACCAGGCTCAATGGGCTTAATGACTGTTCTCACGCTGTCAAAATGAATATGTGATGTGTTGTTCTAAATGATGTACCATAATGTTATTGGGGGGCAGACGACAGAAAGAAAGGAAAAAAAAATGATAATAATGATAATTAGTCTATGTCTAAATGTCTAAAGGCTGCCGTCCAGATGCTATGCAACAATGAACTAGTTTGGGTCTGATAAATATCTGATAAATATCTAAACAGCATATCTAAACATGCTGTGTATTCCATCACAGCTTATACTGAGCACAGCCCTCCACAAATGAGCTCCGAGGTATTCACAGCTGCTGGGAGCTTAATTGTTGACTTGCATTTTAGGATGTCTTATTGGCTTTTTTTATTTCTGTAAAAGATACATTGATGATAGATCACCAGACAGAGCATGAGTAGCACTGCTGAATGCTTATGATAAAAGTGCTTTATGATCAGTTTGATATGAAATGAAATGAAACGTCAAGGAGTAATCATGTAGCAGTGTGTCCTCCATTCCTCCCCCCGCCCTCTGCGTCTAATACCATATAAACATTAAGTTATTTAAAAGCTTTCTTTCATCACAGTGGCAGCTCGAATTTCCTTGTTTGAATGTATGGAAAGTTGTTAATTTAACCTTTGCCCTATTTCTCTGAACATAAATGATGGACTCATCAAATGTTGTCACACAACTTGTGGATTAATCAAATGTATACTTTGTTTTCCTTTTTTTACTGGATTGCTTATTCTTTGACAATGCTTCTGGACAGTTGACCCTGTTATTATAAATGTATATAAGTATATTATAAATGTGAATTTAAAAACGATTAATCAATATCAGTTAAATTTAAATGTTTGTGCTCTTTATTCAGAAAACCCTCAGGTCACATCTACGTTTCAGGTTCTGGTTATTATGGACACAGATTACATGTTAAATTTCAATATTTATATTACAGTAACAGAGTTACTCGCATTAGCAGCTGAAAACACTCAGCATTAAAGTCCAGACGCTGGTTTGGTGCTTCCTTATATCCTAAACATCAGGAGTAAAAATGTTTAATCATCACTTTAAAAGCTACATAAGTTTTTTTTCTGTGCCTATTTGCTTCCCAGATATATTAGGGTGTGTGTCTGAATGGGTGAATAAGGTGCATTAACTTAAAGCACTTTGTAGAAAAGCGATTTATGGAATTCAGTCTGTTTTACTTTATTAGTTTACGGGCAGTTCTGCCACATCCAAGATGGCGGACACGCTGAGGTATCCTAGCAACGGACCGACCGGGTCAACGCATGAAGGTCTAGGAATTTTGACACTTCACATTTTAACAGAAAGTCAGTACAGTTGACACATCATCACTGAAGTTGACGTTTTTCAGGAGTGTCTCAATTTGAATGAATGTTATACAGCTCCATTAGACCATTTACACCAGTTCTTCTTCATGAAAGAGGAAGTTGCTATAAGTCTTTTGTGCTCTGCTCGGTAACGTAACCCTATGGTAAAAACCATAACCCTCTAGCGTGTGCTCATGGTCAATCACCTGAGGTTGGTGTTTCTGTTTGAAACATGAACTTTTTCTCTTTTCCTGCGTGCACTGAAAAGGTGTGAAACATAAAAGTGAGATGTTGTTAACTCATTCGCTGCCAAAGACGTCTATAGACGTCTTTTATGTTTTTCAATGCGAGTGTCTGGGGGACGATCGGCAAAAGTTTTCCCGTAAATATCGGCTTCTAGACAGAGTATGTAGTAACAAATTGACCCTCTAGGTAGCTGTGCCACTTTTGATGGGAGATTAGCATAGATTGTAAGCAAATAAAAACAAACGCAATGGTTCGCTATGAGAGAACATGTCGCCGGTGAGACGCACGTCGAAGAAGAACGGAATGAGGTAGAAACAAAATCTTTTTTCCTGATGAAAGAAGAGAGTCTACTCTTTCTTTTGGTGTGTTCGGTGTTTACATAGTCATAGCACAAACTATTCTGTGGCTCTAGAAAAATCAGTCAAAATTCTCAAAAAACTCTGGCAGTGAGCGACTCTCTGTTCTGAAAATGGCTGCCAGTCAGTGAGTTAACCGGCTGGCTTTATTGTTGTGCTTCAGACGCTGTTGGAGTGTGCGGGCTGCTGGAGGATCGAGGAGGAGCCTTTGCCAGTGGTGCAGGTCTACATAGTTGCTCTGCTGAGTTATGCCCGGGCATCTCCATATCTGTCCCCGCAGTGTGACAGTGTTTCTCTTGTGGCTGAGAGGCTCTCACTGTAAGTCAAATGGAAAATATTCTAAAAGATGTGCACAATGATACAAGCAAAAGCTACAATCATTTCAACCCGGAAAAAATTATTATTCCATATTTCGCCTGGATGTTGTGTTATAATGATGATTGAAAAGTCAAACCATTGTAAAGTTTTCTCTCGTTCATCGTAAATGTTCTCAATGGGGCTCAAGAAGGTCATACTTCCTAAATTGCATTCACAGACAAGGTGTATTCGTCATTTATTAAATTGAGACAGTCGGCTAGTAAAAAAAAAAGCCTTGGGGATCTGGCACTGGCTGTTGAAATATATTTAATTCAGTTAAATTGGATTTGGACAAATTAAAGGCTTCATCAAATGGAAAAGTTTGAAGCTTTATCCTTTATAGTAGAGAATGGTCAATATCATGCTGGTGAATGGCTGTTTTACCTATTTTTAATTTTTAAAATTTTGTTTGTCTTTGCAGAAGCTTTGTAGAGCTTTTGCTTTCAACGAAGGACATTCCAGATGTTTTATGGAAAGAATTGAAGTCATCTGTGCAGGTAAAAAGCACTTACTGCATCTTAAAGGAAAGTATTGAAAGTCCACATAAGAAAGCAGGATACAGTTCCTCAAATAACTTTTACATGAATTCCTTCATTGAAATCATTTACTCATTTAATCAGAGCTAAAATGTTTTGCCCAGCGTACGGATAGTTATTCCTGTATTATTTATGTATCAGTATACTGTCTGTTTTCAATATCTTTTCCCATCCTTGACAGCATTTGGACGCTCTAAGAGTAGTGCCAGGGCTGTGACAAGATATGTGTGTGCAAGATATTGAAAGTCTTTTTGGAAACAATTGGCTAAAGATGCTGGAGCTTAGATAAGGAGACGTGTTCTGTCAATCTTGAGCTTTTTATATAGGAGGAGATTTTGTTTGAGGGTGAGTGAAAGGAACCTACAATAAACAATGAGCACCATCAGAGAGGCTGTATAGTGTAACCATTTTTTAAAAATAATTATATTTATTGGTTTTTAACATTTTGACAAACAAACAAATACAATACAATACAAGACAAGAACAAGAGAACAATCCAGCTCTTAAAGTTAAGTTACATACCTATATACGAGCAGATGCTTACACATAGACACATATACATACCTACCAAAGAGAAAAGAAGCCGCCATCTTGAAAACCCTAGTGTAAGCATTTTAAAAGTAAGGTAATTTACCAGAATAGCACAAAGTTAACGCAGTTTACATATCCAGCTCATGTTTTGTTAGCGTTGGCTAAACCGGTATATTCTCAAGTTAAACTGAACTCTGGGAGTTTAAACAACCAATAAGAGATACTCATGTTAAAGTTAATTTTATCAATAGACCTTATATTTAAAAGTTCTCCCCAGTTTGAGTTTTGTAGCCTCAGTGTCGAATAAAACGGTTTTGCGTGGTTAATCTTTTTTTATCTTCAAAGCCACCAAAATTCAGATTAAATTGTTTCAAAATCAATGTCAGGTTCTAATAATATGCCTTCTTCATATAGGTTGCACACAGCAAACTTCTGGAGAGTGGAATAACCCAGTTCTCAATTCTGTGTTCCTTGAGCCAATATGATGGTATTTGGACCAATAGGATCCTACAAGGCCTTCTGACCAACGCTGACCTCCAAACAAAACAAGGTAATTTCCTCTTATTGGCTATATACACCATTCTGTGTCACAAATCCATGTTTTCCCAAAAAAGAAAAACTGGTGTTTGGGAGCATTTCTTTAATTTGTGGCAGCCATTTGGGAATACTCCAGGATCTTTGGGACAAAGTTAACCGTTGAGGTATTTCATACAATTCAGATGATTCAAGTGCCCGTTTTACTGTTTAATTTCAAGTCAGTTCTGTCATGTAGAAGTAACACTCTTTATGTCTCCAACGTCCTCATATCAGGACGCTGTAATGTTCTGGATAAAATTATGTTTTGTACTGTTGATGTACTTTTCAGCTGTCTCTGAAGTATAGTATTCCAAATAGTCATTTCTTTAAATATTTACTAATAAAAACCTTGGTAAAAACAAGTGATGTATGTACCGACTTTGTCAACATCAAAGGAATTAAAACTTTTTTAATTTCTAAATATTACAGCATAGTTGTTGATGGCAGTACTTTAAGTAGAGTGGAGAAGTTGAATGTTTGACAAACTGACATGCAAGAGGAAATAGATGAGGCAGGACGAAATTGAGGTTGTCTACAAGTTAAACTACCAACACAGGATGATGAGAATGTATGTGACGGCAGAAAAACTCCATCATATTTCACCTAACCTTCCACAAATATGCACGAAATGATTGTAAGTGGACTCTCATTGCCTGTTGGAATGCTGTGAGATCCAGATCTTCTGGAAAGATGTTGTTAAATATGTGTCATGTGCTCTAAGTCAGTTTACCGTTCAATGCCAATCTTTGTGTGCTAGGAATATACGCACAGAACTTTGCATATGCATCACAAAACACCTGGAATTTGGACTTTTTCAAGCTAGGAAAGCAATAGCTCTGTGTTTGAAAAATAAGGATGCACCTTAATTACAAATGAGTGGGAATGACAGGGTTAGTTTGTGTTTCATTGTTGTGTTCCCTGTAAATATAGACTATAATTTCCATGGAATTATTGGGGAGAGAAATAGCTAGATGCCAGCAGCCTTATGATGTTGGAAGATTTCCTGTTCTTGAGTGAAATGAAAAAAAAAAACATTTGTCGTCATACTTTGAAAGGATTAATAAAACCCATAACCACTTGCTTGAAACACAAGCTATTTCATGATTGCCTACAATTCCTCAAACAATTTCAATATGTTTTCAAAAAGCATCCTATGAAAGCATAATTGTGTTTCAGTTGAGGAGTTCCTTGTGCTGGAAGGGAGGGTCCTGCTGCAGATGAGAGTGAAGCAGCTCATGAAGGAAAACCAGTTTGTGAAAGCTGCTTTTCTGGCAAAGACCTGCGCCGATTATTCCGCCTTCCAAGGAAAGGGAACTTTCAAGCAGATGTACCTGGTTTCTCTCTGTAAAACTTCAGAACAGAATCGGCTCATGGCTGAGGTAAGTGAGTTGTACATGGACTTGGTTTTGTCTTAAATAATAAGTGGCAGCACATGTGCGAACTGTGGACACGGAGCTAGTTTTGTCCACAACAGGATTGACTGATGTATGTTGTCCCCCGTTTATAAACATACAGTGGTGTGAAAAAGTGTTTGCCCCCTTCCTCATTTCCTGTTCCTTTGCATGTTTGTCACACTCAAGTGTTTCGGAACATCAAACCAATTTAAACAGTAGTCAAGGACAACACAAGTAAACACAAAATGCAATTTGTAAATGAAGGTGTTTATTATTAAAGGTGAAAAAAAATCCAAACTATCATGGCCCTGTGTGAAAAAGTGATTGTCCCCTAAACTTAATAACTGGTTGGGCCACCCTTAGCAGCAACAACTGCAACCAAGTGTTTGCAATAACGTGCAATGAGGCTTTTACAGCGTCCTGGAGGAACTTTGGCCCACTCATCTTTGCAGAATTGTCCTAATTCAGTTACATTAGAGGGTTTCGAGCATGAACGGCCTTTTTAAGGTCATACCACAACATCTCAATAGGATTCAGGTCAGGACTTTGGCTAGGCCACTCAAGTCTTCATTTTGTTTTTCTTCAGCCGTTCAGTGGTGTGTTTAGGATCATTGTCCTGCTGCAGAACCAAAGTTCATTTCAGCTCGAGTACACAAACAGATGGTCGGACATTCTCCTTTAGGATCTCTTGGTAGACAGCAGAATTCATAGTTCCTTTTATCACAGCAAGTCTTCCAGGTCCTGAAGCAGCAAAACAGCCCCAGACCATCACACTACCACCACCATATTTTACTGTAGGTATAATGTTCTTTTTCTGAAATGGAGTGTTCCTTCAATGCCAGATATACTGGGACACACACCTTCCAAAAAGTTCCACTTTGGTCTCATCGGTCCACAGAATGTTGTCCCAAAAGTCTTGCGGATCATCAAGATGTGTTTTGGGGAAATTGAGACGAGCTTTGATGTTCTTTTTTCTCAGCAGCGGTTTTCTCCTTTGAATTCTGCCATGCAGGCCATTTTTGCCCAGTCTTTTCCTGATGGTGGAGGCATGAACGCTGACCTTAACTGAGGCCAGTGAGGCCCTCAGTTCTTTGGACGTTGTTGTGGGGTCTTTTGTGACCTCTTGGATGAGTCGTTGCTGTGCTCTTGGGGTAATATATAAGGGCCAGCAAAACGCAATGAATCCCCCCTCACATTTTGTGGACTTGGGACTTAATTAAGAGTGTGTTAGCGACCTATTCAAGCTTCCCTGTCATTGTATCATAAAGACAGACATCATATTTATAGTTTATAGTTTATGTATAAGCAACACAAACATCCATCCGTCCATTAATGTAACGGCAGCATCACAAACATCATTGATTAATTAATTCAATGCTTCAGACACCAAAGCCAGAGTCTCATTAGAATCATGCTGTACGGTTTACATTTATTGTCCACTAGAGGGCACCACAGAGCAAATGAAGCACCATGAAGCTTCAACACACGAGTGGACCAATTGGATGGAACGCTTCAAAGCTTTATGAAGCTTCATCTCGCCATCACTAGTGATTTTGGGCGGCCGGCCACTCCTGGGAAGGTTCACCACCGTTCCATGTCTTCGCCATTTGTGGATAATGGCTCTCACTGTGGTTCGCTGGATTCCCAAAGCTTTGGAAATGGCTTTATAACCCTTTCCAGACTGATAGAGCTCAATTACTTTCTTTCTCAATTGTTCCTGAATCTCTTTGGATCTCGGCATGATGTGTAGCTTTTAAGGATCTTCTGGTGGACCTCTGGTGGTCAAGCAGCTCCTATTGAAGTGATCTCTTGATTGTGAACAGGTGTGGAAATAATCAGGCCTGGGTGTGGCTAGAGAAATTGAACTCAGGTGTGGACAACAACAGTTATAGTATGTTTTAACAAGGGGGGCAATCACTTTTTCATATACAGGGCCATGATGGTTTTGATTTTTTTTCACCTTTAATAATAAACACCTTAATTTACAAATAGCATTTTGTGTTTACTTGTGTTGTCCTTGACTATTGTTTAAATTGGTTTGATGTTCCAAAACACTTAAGTGTGACAAACATGCAAAGGAACAGGAAATGAGGAAGGGGGCAAACACTTTTTTTCACACCACTGTATGTAATCAAAGAATAAAATAATTAAACTGCAGAATGTTTAGTTTCAGCTCATTTGTATACATTGTCTACAAATGACACAAATGAATTTGATTTGAAAATGGTACCCGTACAGCTTTCAAAGGAAGACTGCCATGATGCAATAGATATGATCTGCAACCTGGAGTCAGATGGAGATGACAGTGGAGCTTTCGGTTTATGTTCAGCCTTCTTGACTCGTCAGCTTCTCCAAGGAGACGCATACTGTGCCTGGTAAGAAAACACAAGACAATGTTGTTGTAAATCTTCTCCAAATCTCTGTTTGAGTGTTGCTTTTATGTCAAACTGGCTGCATATTGGTATAGAATGCATATTTGAACTAAAATTTTCTAAAAATGTACAGAATATCTTTAGCATTTTGCAGTTGTATTGACCATTCTCTCTTTCAGTTGAAGGCAAGTTTTTGTTTGGCACATTCTGTGTACAAGACAATTCAAAGTGCTTCACATAGTTTAATAGCGAAAAAGTAACAAAATGATCAAAATGAGTCTCACTTCTTCAGAAAGACTGATCCAGACTTTAGGATCAGAAAACTGAAACTCAGCCTCTCCTTGTTTGGTTCTGACTCTGGACACCAGCAGGAGACCAGAACCTGAGGTTCTCAGAGGTTCTCCCTAACATGATGGACTTTAGACCATGGAGAGATTTGAACACATCAGAGCTGTTCAGAGTCTGCAGAAGGCTGCTGATAGTACTGATTTAATGTGGCTGTTAAAGTTCAGGTCTGAACTTTAAAGGGGGCCTGAAGCCATACTGGAGAGCAACAAACACATTGTTAGACGGGAGAAAGTCAGTCAGGTGTTGTATATCTTTAAAAGCGTCCAGGCATAGTTCTGAAGAGCATTAAACCATATGGTTGGCTCTGATTGTGGGCCACTTTTCTATAACTTGAAAATGTATTTAATCAAGTGTCTATCTGTCTCCAATGGAATTAGGGGTCAACGGAGTTTATATTTGTTGTTTGCAACCCTTACATTTATTTTTTTTTAAATTAATGAAGTTGACAGGTTTTTTAATTTAAAAATGCATTAATCTTTACATAGATATTTCCATATAGTTTTGATATGTATCATGTTTCTGTTATGGAAACTCACTTTTAAAGAAGTGAATGAAGAGAAAGAACAGGACAAAGTGGAAACTGTCATAATCCTATCACCCGCTACATCTCACTATGTTCTCTCACTCCTTTCAATTTTGCCTGCCACTTTGCTGTATTCATAGTATGTTGTTACAGGTCTATGGTTTAATTTCAGAACACTATTTTCATCCATTCAGTTTCTGATCAAGGCTCAAGGCCTGTTGATGATCCATGTGTGGCAGTTCTGTCAATCACTAAGAGATGATTAACAGACTGCTCTTACTTATTATTCACAACAGGGCCACCATCATCTTTCTGCTATGATACCTAACCGGACTTTCCCTGATGTTCAGAATTAGGCTGTTGAGCCATAGCTGATTGCGACTGCTCCCTTTTTCATCATCATTTCTGTCCAGCCTTGCATCAGCCTGTTATTAATGGGTTCCATTAATCATCGCTCTTCTCAGAGATGGATGTTGTCAGCTCTCAGATCCACTAGCCATTGAGCATTGGTGCTATGTGGTGTGTTTCTCCCATATGCTTGGTTCTTGGTCAATGAAAGGACACTGGACGGTCCAGTGACCAAAGCCAATTTCTAGTGCCTCAGGTAGAGTTTCTTTTAGAGTCTCCGTTTCATTGTACCATTTTGGGCCCCTTGATACTAATTGTCCAGTTCATGTTAGTATTGAGGATGCCCTAACCAGGAACAAAAACAATGATCTATAATACTGTTTCACCATCCTTTCAGTTTTATTGATCTATACTTTAAAAAAAAAAGAATCCCATTCTGTGTCCTTAGTTGATTGCATATTGAATATGTTAAATTTATTGTCATTTCTTATTAAATGGTATGATCATGCTAACTGTCAATATCAGCATGAGTTGTAAATTCACAAAAGAATCTCAATTTAAAATGTCCTTTCTTTAAACAGGGAGCTCACTCTGCTTTGGAGTAAGCTTTTGAGAAGGTTGGAGCCATCGGAGCAGATTTTCTTGGACAGATGCCACCAAATGTCTCTGCTATCCACATCAGCGTACCACATCCTGTTTCTCATTAAGGTCATCCAGTCAGAGGTCAGTTTTTTTGATATGGCCAAATCCCATGTGCACTAAATGGAAAGGAATCTGTAATCTTCAACTTCTTTTTTTTATTTTGCAGATCCTGACATTGCTTAGGTTTCTTAGTTGTTTTTTTCCAGTATTACAAGATACATGGATATTTAATGCAATCATTTAACCATTAAATAGTTTTAGATATAAAAAATCCCTTTTATACTAAACAAGTTTCCTAAATGAATTTGAATGCCTTTGGCAAGTGACATTGCCTGCTTTCTTTTTTCATAGATTGACCAGAATGGTCTCCAAATGTGCATTGAGATGTGCATACGGGCCCTACAGATAAAACCAGACGATGGAAAAACGAAAGCTACTGTATGTAAAACTATTTCCTGTTTGTTGCCAGCGGACTTGGAAGTGAAGCGAGCCTGTCAGCTCACAGAGTTCCTCCTGGAACCTACAGTGGATGCATATTATGCCGTTGAGACTCTTTACAATGAACCTGATCAAAGATTAGAGGAAGAGAATATGCCTATCCTCAACTCTCTACGTTGTGAGCTTCTCCTACTTTTAAAAACCCAGTGGTCTTTTGACCCAGAGTTCTGGGACTGGAAGACACTAAAGCGTCACTGCCTGGAGCTAATGGGAGAAGAGGCATCAATAGTGTCGTCCATTGACTCTTTAAATGATGCTGAGAAACAAGAGGAAGGTTGCACGAGTATGAAGGAGTTCCGTGATCACGTTGTCAGCGACACATATGAACTTAAAGATTTTGCAGATAGGAGGAGAAAGAATCGAGAGATGAAAAAGCTGAGGGAAAAGGGTTTTATATCTGCTCGGTTCAGAAACTGGCAGGCCTACATGCAGTACTGTGTGCTGTGTGACAAAGAGTTTCTTGGGCATAGGCTTGTGCGTCATGCTCAGACTCACCTAAACAGTGGAATATATACTTGCCCAATATGTGCTCAAACTTTCACCTCAAAAGACGCAATGATTCCTCATGTCACTTCACATGTAAAACAGTCTTGCAAGGAAAGGCTGACGGCAATGAAAGCCAACCATAAACTAGCTAATCCAAAAACTGCTGCCCCTGCAATTGCAGCATTTAAGATCAAAACACTTAATGATCGGCCCAAAAATGGCTATGCCCACGACCAAAACGAGATCTTTGTTAAAAATATTCACACAACAGTGGTTGGATGTGACACAAATGCTTTTGAGGTCAACATGTGCCCTGTCGGAAAATGTAGGCGAAACTTCAAATTTGTCAAAAATCTCATTGCACATGTTAAAGCGCACAGGGAGAATGAAGAAGCAAAGACTTTCCTTGAAATGCAGAGCAAAAAGGTGGTTTGCCAGTACTGTCGGCGCCATTTTGTTAGTGTTACCCATCTCAATGATCATTTACAAGTCCACTGTGGAGTAAAGCCTTACATCTGTATACAACTTAACTGCAAGGCTAGTTTCTTGTCAAACACTGAACTGTTAATACACAGGAAAACGCACTCTATTTTTAAGGCTAGATGCATGTTTCCAAACTGTGGAAAGATTTTCAATGCAGCTTTCAAACTCTATGACCATGAGGCACAGCATTTTAAAATGTTCACTTGTAAAGTTGCTGACTGTGGAAAGGTATTCCATTCACAGCAACAGCTGGATTTGCACGAGGATTTGCATCATTCTACATGTGAAGGACAACATTTACAAAATGTGCATTCAGGTCCAGCACTCAACTGCCTCACAATGCCTTCAAATCAATCTGTCTTTGACCAGGAAACTTCCCAAAGGAGCTTGAAAACTGAAAGGGAAGAGATTTCAACGAATGGAAATTCCCCTGTTGCTGTGGAGACTTTGCTGAAATCGACCCACGAACATGTTGAAAATTGGGAACAAAGCAAAGTAAAACCTGAACCTCTAAATACATCCTCTTCATCTTGCCAGACATGTAGTAGGAGTACTTCTGTGATTATTAAGGCAGTGCATTCCCATTTTCTTGAACCAAACCGACAAAGAGATGATTCTAATGATTACATTACAGCACTGCAAAAGAATCCTCTAGTGCCTCATTTCGAAACCAATGTGGAACATGTCCTGCAAAGCCAGCCACAACTCTTTCCCAGTAAAGTGAATACTGATGAAATTGGTTACAACTCTGACTACAATTTGCCATCACAGCTTCAGGAATGGCCGACTGCTTCTGGTAATTGTTCAGCAGGAGCTTTATCTGAATGTCCTGCAGCATCATCACAGTCACTCCCACCATTATTGAGCACTGGGCAAGTAACAGGCAACATCCTAGAGAACTCTGCAACATCCTCTAATGGCACAGGTCCATGTCAAAAGCAGAGGGAGAGATTTCACTGTCCATTTGAAACATGTACACGCCACTATAGCTCCTATAGAAGTGTTACTAAGCACATGAAAGCAGTTCACTCAGATTTCTATGAGCAGTGGCAAGTTAAACGGGCAAAGATCAAGACAACCTATGTCCCAGCATTGAGTATATCATCAGTTGAGCAACTGAGTTCCTTTTCAACACTTGAAAATAAGCAGGCCAGCAGTGTTCCAGCTCTTGGAAATCAGAGGCAGAATGTCATCCAGTGGCCGCCTCATACTGATGGGAGTGCTCTTTCAAGCCGTGTAAATCTGCATTCGTCTTCACTTGCTCATGACCAAAATAGTTCACTACTGATGGTAAATGTTTCGAATCCCATAGTTCTTTCTCAGTTGGGTGCTGACAGACTTTCAGCAACAGAACAGTCCAGAGTTTTAAGATGGAAAAACTTGCCCTTTTTCGATGAAAGGGAACAAATCCATAACTCTGAATCCCCCCATGGCTGTCCATCTAAACCGCATGTCAATTCTACAAGTGGTACTCCACCAACACCCGTTTCTTCTTGCTCGGTGACAGCTTCTATGATAAACCAGATGGAATATTTGCAGTCCCGATGTCTGAACAGAGAAGCCCAGTCAGTTATCACATCAAATGTAAATTGTGCAAATGAAGCATTGCACCAAGCAGAACTTCCCCCCTCAGGCACATCACAACTCAGCTTAGCCTCATCGACCAAAACACTGGAAAAGATTAAAGCCAGAGAAAATTCTACACAGTCCAGTTTTTCTTCTCTGATTATTGAATGTCAAAACATGAAAAACAACCAACCTCAAAACGGCCTTTCCATCACTGAGAAGGATTGTGGTAATCGGAATCAGCCCAGAACAGATAAAAGGAGCAAATGTCCAGCAATTATCAAGGATGGTAAATTTGTCTGTAGGAGATGTTTCAGACAATTTGATAGTCCAAAGTCCCTTGGGGGCCATTTGTCCAAGCGCACAACTTGCAAACCATATCAAGAGTTGGTTAAGAGGAACGCCTTGACAGGCTCATTTCTTAATCTTCTGAATTCTGAGCTATCCCACAGTGATGTTCAAGTCTATCTGAAGACTTCTGAGACAGAAACAAGTAGTCTGCCAGATGTAAAAGATTACTCCTCCCCTAAGGATAGCACGCAAACATGTGGAAGAGGCCAGTCAAATGATGATATTCTTAAGCAAATTATGACTGAATCAAATTTAGCTGATCTCTTTGTACAGATGTCTGTTCCCCAATCATTGCAAAACTTTCAGGCAGGATTATTTAAGCAGCATGCAGAACATGGTCACCCAGTGCGAGAAGGTTACCAACAGTGGGCAGCCCATTATCCCCAACAACACATTAACAAAACTACCGGGAAATTTTCTGAGCAACTTCTTCGACAAAACCTCACAGAACATTCTTCCACTTCTATTCCTGACCGTATTATGAGCCCTGGAGAACAACGTGGTGAAGGGCACCTCCCTGACCCATCGACACTCACACAAGATGTGCGCTCAGACTCAGTGGAGAGGACGGCGTTACCCAACAGCCAGCTCAGTGAAGAGATAGAGAAGCCAAGACTGACAGAGAAAGATATCAAAAGGAGGTTGCGTGAGCAGATATTGTCTGGTGACTTTCAACGCAGAAGCAGTATGTGTTATTCAGCCCACACTGACACCAAAGCCAGTGCTGTGTCTTCAGGTCCTGGCTGTAGTCCTTTTAATCATTCTGGAATTAATCAATTGTCAAATATTGCAAAAAACCATCCATATGGTAAGGGTCATGTAACTAAAGGCAATACTGTGACTTTTTCAGGATCTTTGGGGGAAAGTGATCAGTTTCTAAATACCCAAAGCTTTAAGTGTTGCAGAGAGACGGTTGGGAAGCAACCAGAGATACCAAGCCCCGCTCGCATTTTTGAACATGATCCAGATCCTAAACCCTCTGAGTTATCAATCTCCATGCAGCAGTGCATTTCAGAACTTCAGTGTGCATTTGAGGGACTCAGCTTAGCCAAAGAGATGACTGCAGTGAAGTCCACTTCTGTTCACCAGAATTATGGCCAAATGAATAACCAGACTGCACCTTCAAATGTGAGATCACATCAGTCAGTGTCCACTACCTTTGCCAAGCCATATGCTTGTGACAGCGTCCACTGCAGGTTTAGTTCCTTCTCAGGTGAAGCTCTATGGAAACACCTCTCGAAAGCACACAACTATACACTTGAGATGGTGAACGTGGTCAAAAAACGCTATGGCCAGTATGCTCGTTTCAAGTGTCAGAAGTGTGATAAGGCATTCACCCGTAATTCAAACCTTCGCTCTCACTATCTGTCCGCTCACAAATTATCAGCCAAGGAAATTTCCGATCTTGATAATAATCGCAAGCTGACTAAAGCTGCTGCATCTCCTGCTATTCAGAATCAACCTGCTGGTACAGCTACAATGGTTCAGAAAGCAGCTACTCAGCAGGTAGACAGCAGCCCCCCCCCTGGGACACAGTCAGATGGAAAATGTGTCCTCTATGACAACATAGCCATAACTAATCAGAAATCTCAAGATGACAAGCTTTCTGCAGCTCTTCTTTCCATACACAACCAAAAAACGACCCCTCCAGCACAAGCTCAGACCCTGAGAGGCTTTGGGTCCATGCAAGAGGTTTCTGCTAAATATTGGATACAAGATGAAAAAAACTTGTCTGAGGTGCACTCTCAGCATAGAGTGAGTGACTGTTTTCCTCCTTTCAGTCAAGAGTTGCCTACACCTCTGGCTCAAGATCCACTGACTCACAAAACAGCTTCTTTCAGCAGACAAACGGCAGTAAACCCAGTTGTAGACATTGCTATAAAGACTGAGGTGAAAACACCAAAAGCAAGTGGAACCTTTAGTCCATACAGACCGTATCGCTGTGTTCATCACGGCTGTGTGGCAGCCTTCACCATCCAGCACAATCTGATCCTCCACTACCGGGCTGTGCATCAGTCTGCTTTTTCCGCCCTGGAGGTGAACAAAGAGCTGAACACGAGCGAAGGACTGGATCAAATGATGGACCATGAAGAACAGCAGCCAGAGTTCCCTCAAATCTTTGAGTTCAGGTGCCAAGTCAAAGACTGCTGCTGTGTTTTCCAAGAAGTCCCCAACCTCTTTCAGCATTATTTTCAGCTACATAAATTCTCCTTTGAGAGGGTTGGCAGTCTCTTGTCTCAAATCAAACTTGGCAAGTTTTTATGTGGCCACAAAGGATGCACAGAAACATTCACTGCTTTCTGGGGGTATGTGGGACACGTTAAAGAGCAGCATAAGGATCTAAACCTTACCAAACCGGAACAATTAAACATTTCGTTCAGGTGTGAAATTGAAGGCTGTGACCGTTCATATGCCACAAAGTCGAATATGCTCAGACATGTCATGAAAAAGCATCAGGATCTCTACCAGCCTAAACTAAAAATTCAAAAAGTAAAAGAAGATGGGACAAAGCAAAACTCCCAAACTTTGCATTACTCAGTTACTAAGACAAGCAATGGGAAAGAAAACATTGAGAGTAACCAAAAGAACCTATTGAGAGTTAAAACAAAGAGAGGTGGCAAGTCAAAGGCCAGAAGACAATGGGATGAATATGGAAACCCCTCCTTGAAATCTAAACTGGAGGCATCTGCACTGTGCACAAAAAAGTTTCCTCTACAATATCCTTGCATGATCAAAGGTTGTGAGTTGGTCATGAAATCTGAGCGGGGTGTGTTTAAACATTATGGGGGGCACGGGCTGTCTGACAAGTACCTTGAACAGCACAGAGGTCACTTCATATTCTGCAAAAAGGTTAGACAAAAGTGTCATTCTGTAAGGAGTGATGACTCCAAATCAGATTACACCTCTGATGCGTCGGACAATGATATGGCGGCACCTTCCTGTCTGGGAGGAGGGCGAGGGGAAAAGTCCCAGCCTGTTCTGCGTCGCCGGGGCCCAGCCGGAGCATCGGGTCTATTGTTCGACAAGAAATTACCCAACGACGGAAGCTCCAATAGCTCTGTGCCCCTAAAACGAAAACGTGGACGCCCACGAAAACTCATTGAAAAAATAGTCAAGAGAAAGAAAACTTTGCATGTGACCAAGACTGAGATAGTTTACGGCAGGGAGGCTGAATCCCAGTCATCTTTCTCCACACACACGGAGCAGTGCGCCTCTTTTAAACCCATGGGATTTGAAATGTCCTTCTTAAAGTTTCTGGAACAGTCATCTGAATACAATGTGACGAGGACAGTAACCAGGCCAGAAAAGGGAGAGATCCGAGCTGGCCCCGGCACCAGAGCCTCCTGTGTGAAGTTTAGCAACCGCCAGAACTTGAAATCTCTGAGTAACGTTAGAATAAAGCTCGATGCAGCCTTTTCCGAGATGAGCCACCCAATGCTGAGACAGCTGCAGGACATGCGGCCGGCGGTCATATTGGAACAGTTTGACTGATTTGTGTTTTATTTCTTTTCAAGCTGATTCTCAGGACTTGAATGAGTAAAATGTTCTGCCGATTGGTTCCGTACATATTACACCTTTGTTACACATTTTATCTAAAAAACAAAACACCAATTCAATGGGACTATTTGTATTTGTGTTTTTTTTTATTGTATCATTTAAACCATGCCTGAATTCAGTGCTAATTTTATACAAACGTGTCCATGTACCTGTGGCACAAACCCATGTTGTTTATGATGTTGCAAGTAGTTTCTGAAGATGACTGTGTTGTGTGCGTGTACTTTCACATCACCAACTGCCACCAGCAGTTTTAATAGTAGTGTTATTTTCGTGTTTTAAGACTGCCCAATCAGTAATATCTTTGATTTAGTTTCTGTTTTCCTGAATTTGAAGGTGTTGCATGTGAAAATGGGGAAAAAAGCAGAGTTTGGTCTGTTGTAAACCTGTCAGAACATTAAATGTTATTCAGTATTTTGTAAGTCATTCTGTACATGTGGTCCTGTTTTTTTCCGATCTGATTACATATTGTATTTGAATTAAAACAAATTCTGAAGAAGTCTCAACAGCCCCCCTGGAAATTGCACCTAAGGAAACTTTCATTTAAATCAATCTAATATCTGTTGAAATCCCTCAGGTTTTCTTACTTAACCAGCAGGCAATTATTACATGTAAAAAGCTCCTCTGTCATTGTAAGAAATGCTGCATGAAGGTCCCTTGCTAGACCCAGTGTGAGTGTCACTGCTCGTGCCTTTTGTTACCCCTCAAAGGCTGGTGCCAGCTCCATAGTGTAGGCATCAGGGTATAGTTCTGTTTCTTGGTGAAGAATGACAATTCATCAATGAATGAGTGTCATGAGGGGAGCAGACAGCAGAACCCACCCAGTTAGTGTCTGTAGCAGGTCATGTGATGCTGGTCTCCTCCTCCAGAGACCAGATGAGACCAGCAGGGGGCAGTAGAGACCAGCAGGGGGAAGTAGAGACCAGCAGGGGGAAGTAGAGACCAGCAGGGGGCAGTAGAGACCAGCAGAGACCAGCAGGGGGCAGTAGAGACCAGCAGAGACCAGTAGAGACCAGCAGGGGGCAGTAGAGACCAGCAGAGACCAGTAGAGACCAGCAGAGACCAGTAGAGACCAGCAGAAACCAGCAGGGGGCAGCAGAGACCAGCAGGGGGCAGTAGAGGGCAGTAGAGACCAGCAGGGGGCAGTAGAGACCAGCAGGGGGCAGCAGAGACCAGCAGGGGGCAGTAGAGACCAGCAGGGGGCAGTAGAGACCAGCAGGGGGCAGTAGAGGCCAGCAGAGACCAGTAGAGACCAGCAGGGGGCAGTAGAGGCCAGCAGAGACCAGCAGAGACCAGCAGGGGGCAGTAGAGCTTCTTTTATAACTCCCCCGCCAGAGTTTGTTTCTCCAAAGAGGAACGAAGCCATGGATCCAGAGCCGTCTTTAATAAATATGATTGTAAATGCGTTACGGTTACACACACAGTCATACAAAGCTGTACAGTAGGAAAAGTCTGTCCCGGGATATTTCTCTACAAAAATAATAATCTTACTAATCTGCTGGGGGGGGCACTCTTCCTGACCCTAACGTAACCCTAACCCTAACCCTAACCTGACCCTAAACCTGACCCGGACCCTAACCTAACCCTAACCCTAACCGTAACGCTAACCCTAAACCATAACCTGACCCTACCCTAACCTTAACCCGTAACCCTAACCCTAATCTAACCTAACCCTGACCCTAACCCTGACCCTAACCATAACCTAACCTAACGCTAACGCTAACCCTAACCTGACCTTAAACCTGACCCTGACCCTAACCTAACCCTTACCCTAACCTAACCTAACCTAACCTAACGCTAACCCTAACCCTAACCCTACTGCCTAAACCCGGAAAACCTCTAAATGTCAGAGTCTGAACCCCTCATGAGGGAACCAG